AAAAAAAAACCCAGCAGTTCTGGCTTGTCCTCAGGGCGGGGTCCCCAGCTGGAACGGGAGACCCCCAGGGCAGGGACTGTGGTGCCTGTGGAGCAGGGCGCTGGGCTGGGGAGGCGTCCTGCAGGGAAGCATGTAGGGAACACTGAGGCAGCCTGGGCAGAGAAGGAAGACAAGGAGCCAGAGCTCTTGGGGACCAAGGACTTGGGAGCGCGGCAGCTGCTGCCCCGGAGCGAGCAAGCTGCGCATGCGCTTGCGCACCTTCCTCCGCCCCGCTGAGCCTGTCTGACTCCGGGATCCCATCCGGTCCTCATGACGACCCACTGAGGCGTCACAGAGGTGGCACATGGTTTCCCTAATGTCGCCCAGCTAGTGAGAGGCCGAGCTGAGAATCCAAGCTCTTCTCAGACACGTGCTACGTGGCGGACGCTGTGTGAAGCACTTTCCTTTATGGACTTACTGACACCTCCCGGGGGAGTGGGGTCCCTGGGTCTTCTAAGAGGTTAAGCCTTTAGCTGCTCGCAGAGAAGCTGGTTTGCGTCCACCCAGAGGCATCTGGGAAGAAAGCCCCGGGCATCTCTGGCCCGGAAACTAGCCCTTGTACACCCCAGGGGGCACCGTTCCCCTCTGACACAGTCTGTCCCCATCAATTCCGTGCCCAGTGGGTTTGGTGGAGGAGCGGGGTTCTCACATTCTTAATAGCACAGATGAAGGTACCTAGGCCCGGCCAGAGAAAACCTGTTGACCTCAAGCCATTCCCACCTGCTGTAGAGTCACGCTGTGCTCCATGCGGTTTGCCAAGCTGTCACCCACAGAGAAACAGGCCACTGGGCCCTCTGTGCTGCCCCTGGGGGCTCAGATCATCAGCCTTGGGGGTAGAACCCGAGAAAACTGGTTTGCTACCAGGTACAATTAAAAAAAATTTTTTTTAAGAAGCTGAGGCACAGTGGGATGAAAAACTTGCCAAGACCACACAGCTGCTAAGTGTCAGAGCTGGGTTTGACCTCAGGGAGCTTTGCTCAGAAGAAGGGCGCCCCTCTCTGGTTGGAGAAGTCACATGGGGCCTCACGGAGGCTCAGGGAGGGAGGGGGTCTGGGCCATTTGGGCTGGTGAGGTGGATCCCAGGGGCCAGGCGAAGGCAGACGCAGGCCTTCAGGTCTGTGCCCCAGCCTTCTCTATCCCACATCCCCTAGTCATACTGCCCCTTCCCAGTCCCACCCCACCCCTCGGATCCTAGTTATTGGTGCCCTCTTTGGGGTAGCCTGCAGAATTCAGTCAGGACAAAATA